AGATGAACTGAAGCATCTGTGATCTTCTGAAGCCAAATCATAAAAAGCTGAAGTTCAGGATTTGAACCCTAAACCAGGCTTTGCCACCTTTTTGAATCTCAGTGGGAGAAATATTGTGATGTTTTATGTTCTCCCAAACATGAGGATAATAACTGGCTTTTGAAGACACCAATCCTGCATGACACTATCCATCTGAGTTCTCTTGTTTTATATTTCAATTGTAAGCTCTTTCAGGCAGAGGCCATCTTTTTGCTCTGTGTATGTGCAGCAGTGAACACAGCAGGGTCCTGGTCCATGCCTGGGACTCCTAGACATTGTGATAATAAAAATAATAAATAATACAAAAGAAAGTACAAACCATTATGGAGACTAGATCCCAGCTAGAACAGACAATAATTGTTGCTATGCAGAGTTACAGAAACCAATTCTACCCACAACTCTACACAACTCTACTCACATTCTTCTCTGTAACCTAATATGTTCAGAAGGCAAGCCAGTCACAGACCATAGGAAAAGGTGATAAAGGTTCTACAGGCTCTGAGGGAAAAGAAATGTAGATTTCAAATTGATACATTTTATACATAAAAAAATCTGACTTGCTTTCCACCCAGCAGATGGTTGGCATGGTAACCCTAGCATAATACAACACAAGGGCATATACTTACCATGACAGAGAATATGTGGCAGTAAGTAATACCACAACAGAGACTTTGATTCCCACTTATTGTTCACCTACTTATTTATTTTACAGGAAAAGCAATTCAGTGGTATAACAATTAGTTGTCATGGCATCCATGTAATCTAAATATAAGAAAAATTATCATCCTTACTTTCCTAGCATCCACTAAGTGAAATGTGGACAGATGCTCCAATACTCTTATATCCAAGTCTTCAGTTATATATTTCTCTTTGCATTTTGCCTTTGCCATTCTTTGACTCAACCTCTGTATTAGTGGCATGGTTGTGCTTACGCTCACTATAAATATTTCTTCCTCCACGGGTTTCAGTATTTCATGCTTTCTACCGCTGCTGACTGAGGCTCACATCCCCTTTCCTTTCTGGTTGTGTATTGTGTAGCTCAAAGAGTCTTTTAGAAATGTAAAAGGTACAGTTCCATCTCGTGGGACCCTCCTGTTTGAGTAACTGAATAGCAGCCCACAGTTCTCAACCTTCTCGCAAATTTTGACAAGTTGCTGTAGGTTGTCTGCAATGGCTGCAAATTTTGCATGTCATAGCTAACACCTTGTTAAGACGATCTGTGCTTCAGAGAAATTCAAAGAACTACAATGCAGAATGATTCAGACACTGAGAGGGGGTGGTAATAAATAGCTGACACATTCTCTGAAGATATTTCCTCCACATTATTGGTTGTATACTTTTCAGCAAATTGAATGTTCTTGATGAATATTTTCTTTCACTGTGAAAAGAAACTTTTCCTTTAGAAACAGAAAATTAAGTGGATAGAGTTTCTGCTGAATCACATCTCATCCAAGACTTTGCTTCTTGGAGCTGATAACTAGACAAACTCATTATCTCCTTCTGTCCCAAGTGTTTTCAATTTTTCTCTGTTATGAAAAACATGGATGTTTCTTCTTAGGTGGTTATAAGGTCATTGAACAGTGTTTCAAGAATAGTAAGAACAGAAACAGAAGAATGGTCAGGTTAAAGCATTGACCTGAGACAGTGATTAGTGGGTTCTATTCCTGGCTTTGCCATTGGCTTTTCATGTGATCTTGAGCAAGTCACTTAATCTCATGTTGCTTTAAGTTCTCCAGTCTTTAAAATAGAGATAGTGCTCTGTTTCTCTCATCATTTATCTATTTAGATTACTCTTTGGGAGTAAGGATTGTCTCTAACTACCTGCATGCACAGTGCCTAAGACAATGGGGATCCAAACTCAGTCATGGCTTCTAGACTAAACTACACTACCTCTCCTCTCCCATACTACTACTCATACTACTAACAAACATCTAAACAGACAGACAACACAGATCACAGTGGGGAACTTGGAGGAAGGTGCTGTCTTACAGTGTTTTCATTTGATTCCTTCCTTTGTTTTTAATATAATGGTGAATGGGTTGGAGGGATAACATTCTTAGGCTTTGTACTATAAGTGGACTTCGAAGAGGGATTTGAAAGAAAAGAGGTTAGATGCCTAGTGTTCTTTGATACACAGGGAACAATAATCATTATTTATAATGAAGGGGGAGTGAAGTAAACCAGTTTTATCTCTCTCCTCAGACCCTATGCTACCAGCACTCCCAGCTATCTTCGAGACACCGCCGACTTCCTAAGGAAACTACAATGCATTGATGTTCTTCCTGAAAACACCATCCTGGCCACCATGGATGTAGAAGCACTTTATACCAATATTCCACATGAGGATGGACTACAAGCTGTCAGGAACAGTATCCCTGATGAGGCCACAGCAAACCTGGTGGCTGAGCTTTGTGACTTTGTCCTCACCCACAACCACTTCAGATTTGGGGACAACTTATACCTTCAAGTCAGTGGCACTGCTATGGGTACTCGCATGGCCCCACAGTATGCCAACATTTTTATGGCTGACTTAGAACAACGCTTCCTCAGCTCTCGTCCCCTAATGCCCCTCCTCTACTTGCGCTACATTGATGACATCTTCATCATATGGACCCACGGAAAGGATTTCCTTGAAGAATTCCACCTGGACTTCAACAACTTCCACCCCACCATCAAGCTCAGCCTGGCCCCCTCCACTCAAGAGATCCCCTTCCTGGACACTACAGTACAAATAAGTGAGGGTCACATAAACACCACCCTAAACAGGAAACCTGCTGTTGGCTAAACGTACTTACATGCCCCCGGCTTCCA